AATGCTATAAACAATTACCATGGTGAGCCTGTGGAAACACATTTCCTATAGTGAAGATCATGCTCTGATTTCTGTCACTCATGAAAACCAGTTCAGAAGAGTCTCGTATAACACTTTTAAGCATCTCAAAAACCAAGTCCAACTAGCATGATTCTCACCATCTAGTACTGCAAACGCAAGTCGATAACTGTGACCATTAGGATCTTGAGCTTTGCGAAAACTAGAACACCACCATATTCGTTCTTAGGCCATGTCGCATCCACAATAATCACTTTTCTGATAACCGCAAACCCTTCAATGCAAGCTCCCAAGGCTACGAAGAGGTACTTGAATTTCGATCCCTCATCCAATTCTACACAGGTTTTTGTTCCCAGATTCACTTTCTCTAACATGTACAAATAGCTATATATCATCTTGTATCTCATTTCCGGACTACCACATATATCATAAACCGCTATATTGCTCATTGTATCCTGCCAAAAAAAGGAACAAACACAAGAAACTGACTACCGTTATCCAAAGTTATACCAGTTGTTCCTAGTTTTTTCAGTTATCCATAGTTCTACTAGTTGTTCCTAATTTTCCAGTTATCTACAGTTTTACCCATTGTTCCGAGTTATACACTTATACTGCAATTATCAAGAACAAATTAAATTAGGTTTCAGTTGCCCCAAATCGATTTCTAGGTCCATTTTACAGCCTATACACTCTCATTCTGCGAAATGCATTATATACCAATTTCTTTTACAAATCAACCCCCAAACAAGACAATGCCGTTGTGCAAGCTCCTAATTAGATTCAATTTCAAATCCATTAAAACCTACTTCTGAAATAAATCTCAAGTTGGAGACCACAACTTACGGATGGCTAGAGGTTGGGTTACGATTGATTGGTCTACACCAACAGACGGTGGCAATGGAGAAGCTGCGAGAGAGGAGTTGAGGGTTCCAGAGGAGGAGGAGCTGAGTTGCAGGAGAGAAGAGTGGCCAAGAGCTGAGGGGAAAGGTTTTCTTTTTCTTTTCCAAGTTTTTTATTTTTTTAATTGATAAAATGCAAACCTATTTTAATCGGATTCTTTTTTAATCAAATCCAAATACCCAAACCAATCAAACCAAACCAAACTGGACAATTTCTGTTTTTTTCAATTTTTTCTTCAAATAAGAGGGCATTTTTGTCAATTTGCATTTCATTAATGAATTAGGAGTATAGGAGACTTCATGAGGGCATAGACGATTGTTCCATGAGATGTGGGGGCAGGGGAGCAATTGTTCCGTTTTAATTAGTGGTTCTTTTCGGAGAGAAAAGGGGCAACGAATAGGAGACTTCAAATTATTATTATTATATATATTATTCCATTAAAACCGAATCGAACCGAACGTTTAGTCCAAACCGAGTTACCGAACCAAATGATCTCTTATAAATACCAACAATTTAATTTCAACCAAAACAAAACAACAACGACTATTTTCGCTTTCTTGGCAAGATACATCAATGGCGTCTCGAGAAATCGCTGATACGTGTTATCAACCAAAGCCACAATTTAATTTTCATTTCAACTTTGCAGACAACTCACCTTCTCCCTTTAAACACCTGAATGCGTCGTCTTCCACAGGTACCATCAATTAAATATACGAATTTAAAGGTTAGTAATTAAGGTAGAGAATTAGCTTACTCGGGTCTGTTTTGTTTGGAATCATTGAAACATAGAATTTTCATCCTTTTAGCGAGAAGATTATTTCCTTGATCAATAATCTTTTGGAAAATATTTTTTCGCGATCATTCACCAAAGACTGTCCAAAACATGCACGTGGGTCGTTTCTATTGTGGAGTTGAAAGAACTTGCAAACACATTGGCAAATCAAAAGGTTTTTGCTGTGGATACAGAACAACAAAACTTAAGATCCTATTTGCGCTACTGCATTTATGCAGGTGACTAATCTGTTAGCTAGTGTTTACAAATTGTGTTTTAGTTAAAATTAGTTTTGATGGTTGCTATTCCCCTGAAATTTGAAGATATCCACACGAGACAAGGATTATTTAGTGGACACAATTGCACTTCATGATGAAATGGCCATTCTTCATCCTGTTTTCTTTGATCCTAGGATTTGCAAGGTATTTTTTTAGATATTTCATATAACTTGTCGAATAATACAACTTCAATGGTGCTTATTAATGTGTGATTTGTGCTTCTAGGTGTTTCATGGGGCTCAAAACGATGTTACTTGGCTGCAAAGTGATTTTCATATCTATTTGGTCAATTTCTTTGATGGATAATCTCCAACGTGTGGGAGCCATGGCGGCTGGAGGAGATGAATGCTAACATAGAGTAATTTGATTAATGTTAAAATCATACAAAGTCTGACAAATTTTTATATTTGAAAATTTCTATCTTTTTTTTGTTAACTATTCATTTTATCAAATCAAGTTTTGATCGGATAGTATGTTTTCTCATGGGAGTACTTCCGTCTAACCATGTTTGATCTATATGAGAGAATAGCACACCTTTGATCCTAGTTTATTTTACTAATGTATCTGTCCGGACATTTATGCTCATGTGAATGTGGAACTTGCTCACATCCATCACGACACAAACCCTTTTCTCTTCTTTCTCACTCTCACTCGAATTCAAAACGACATAAACAGAAAAAAAGATAAAAGTTGTCTCACTTTCCGGGAATGAAGTTGGTAGCAAAGGCCCATGCATTGTTGCTGGCTGGATCACCCAAATGGTCAGCAAGATCCTCAATATTCTAGTACCCACAACAACATAAGCTTACCTATGCTCCAAAGACATATGGTTATAGATTTACAAAAACTTGAAAAAAATTTAACCCAACGAATAATAACACCTTCAAGCTTAAATGATTGGAGGACATTTTTTTTACCGCTAGATTGTATTATTAAGCCATTTAGACAAATAGTTTTACACAATAAGAATTAGCAAAAACAATATAGAAAAGAGATATACTAGTAGGGATCCAAATTAAACTAACACATCTATTAATGTACGGATGACTACAGATTTTCATGAAAAAGCTCCATATTTGCTTCTGGAATAGTTGAATCTCAAGGGAGATAATCGCCGTATTAATCCGGAAACACCACGCTTCAGACTTAGTTGAGAACGATTACTACTCTCTTTTTATTACTCTAGTAGGAGCCAACGAGAGAAGACAACTCTTTATATTGCTCTATTGATAATAACAGACTCAAAGAGATTACCATTCCATATAATTTCATATTGTCTTTCGAAGTAACCATAGTTTGCAGCAAGAGTTATATCACCATCAAATGAAGAACCATGAATAACTAAAGCCGGTAAGACACGTCGCCACCATCTACGGTAAATCTATTAGTTACTTTTTCTAAACGATTCACTTAAACTGAAGTTTTTTTCATTTACAAAAGAACAATATAAAATTTTGCTAGATTCAAGATTAATTGACAATCAAACGAACTAAATGATCATAAAGAAAGCAGATCAAAGAAGTAGAAACAAGAAGAATTAAACAAGCCGATATCTGAGTTATAGAAGTCCCCGGCCATTAGCTTCAAACTATAAAATCTCTCTTTTTTCTCTCTTGACCTGAAGACTAGAGCCATGTTCTTTTGGTTGATGCCATGACCTGCGGCTGCGACTGAAAACTTAACTTATCACCACGGTAAAACACAGCCAACTACAGCACTCATGAAACAACGCCAGCTTGTTATTCTTGACGCAGCGGCCGATTCCGAAGAATAAATGAACGCTAAGATATTCAGCGTCAACTGTTTCTCAGTTTTTGTACTTCCGGCGGTTCACTAGTGATCAATTCTATTTTCCGTGCCGTTCATTTTGTCTCTGTTGCATTGTATTTTTTTGACGCAACCGCTGGTCTTGGCGTTCACCAAAAGAACAGGGCTTAGTTTATGATTGGAGGACATCTATCTAAGTAAAATTACTTAAGTCAACGACAGCGCATCTAATGGTACAACATCAAAGGAACTTACAGCGTTTAATTTGGTAAAATTAATATTATCAAAGGAACAACATCAAAGGAACTTACAACGTTCCCATCTAATGGTTACATCAACTTCCTTCTTCAGCCTTTAATTTTGTAAAATTTTGGAATTTCTGTAAAACTACAGCGTGTAATTTTGTAAAATTAATGTAAGTAAAAAAAGGTACAACACATCTATTGCTCTCTCTGAATCAGTATGGTAAGTTAATCCGCTTTCAATGGATAATCTCCAACGTGTTCTTGATTCAATCTTCAAGCTTTGAAACCCTAAGTTCCATTGTATTAGAGTCTTCTCCAATCTTCAAATTTAACTTCGAAAATTCTGAAAGCTTTTGTTGATGCACAAGTTCAAAACTCTATACTTTGTGACTCTCAGAGCATTATTCCAGTCTCTGCATCAACTTTCTTATT